ACCACCAAAAGCCACCGTGTGGGGGGGGGTCTGGGCACACGTGACACGCACCAGCTGGCCGCCTTGCTCACAGATCTGGCATTTGCAAATACACCTGCTTGCTAAATGTGTTTAAACCTCAGAATCAATGTTCACTGTGCTTCCACGGTTACTCACGGAGGTGCTCAGCGCCAAGAAGTCTGAGATCCGGTTTCAGGGCTGGCTCCTCCTGAGGCTGGAGGCAGAACCGGTCTGTCCTCTCTTTCCGCCTCTCTCCAGCTCCAAGCCCACCGTGTTCCTGGCCTGAGGAAGCGCCACCCCGATCTCCGCCTTCATCCTCCCACGGCCTCTCCCTGCTAGCGTGTGTCTCCAGATCCTCTGTCCATAAGGACGTGCTGTGCTGGAGTGAGGCCCGTCCTCATGACCGCACCTTAGCTTGTTTGACTCTGTAAAGACTCTGTCTCCAAACAAGGTCACGTTCTGAGGTGCTGGGGTTGGGACTTCAACACAGAATTTAGGGGGACAGTTTTATCTGTGTGATTAGACTTTAGCATCCTGGTTTCCTCAGGGAGCGGCGTTGAGAGGCTTCACCAGAACCTGACGTGCCAGCACCCTGTCTCTACTTCCCGTCCTCCAGAACTGCAAGAAACATGTTTCTGTGGTCTAAGCCTCCAGTCTGTGGTCTCCTGTCACGGCAGCCCAGACTGACCAAGACGGCCAGGAAAGGGGGTGGGAGAGGGAGACACGGTCCGGGGACAGGGAGGGCCTGCCCAGAGGGGGCTGTCTCCACCGCAGACAAGCTCCATCGGGGCTGGTGCTGGCGTTCAGGCCGCAGTTCAAAGTTTTAAGGCCCCATCAGCGAGAAGCAGCTGGTGGCTTCAAAAGACACCCTAGGAAGTCCGTGGAAGGTCTGATAGAAGCATGCTTTGCCCACCATTTTAATTAACGTGTGCGTCAGAAATCACCAAATTCTGGTAGAAATGGTCAGATGAGGGTTTTCCAGGTGTTTCTGACGCTGTCCACTGTCTCCTTGATGGTGAAAGGCATGTTAAACAGTTTTTCCTCAGAAGTTGGCTGCCGTTAGCCCGTGGGAAGTGGGCTGAGTGAGCCCCCACCTCCTCATGGGCAGCGTGGCTGGGTCCGAGCTCCCCCAGAGCCAAGGTACAGGGGTCTTGGGGCCTGGCTGAGGGCAGGCTCAGGGTTGGGGTCTGGAGGAGGAGACAGGACACGCAGGGGTGGTGACTCTGGGCCTCCCAGCACAGGCAGGCGTCCGGAGTCAGCTCGGGAGAGCACCTGCCGCAGGGCCTCTGCTCTGGGTCTCCGCCTGGACGTCTTCCCGCTGCCTCCAGGCAGCCCCTCCTGGTCACTCACATTCTTCAGTGTGTCTGTCCCAAGCACAGCTCCTGGAGGGCCAGGGTCCCTGAGGCTTTCACTACTTTCCCTTCACCTGGGGGCCCACCCAGGGCCCTGTCCCAGCAGCTTAACCAACAGCTTCTGGACAAACAGAATCCTCCCAGTTGAGGACTGAGCTGAGGACAGAGTTCCCCTCCACCATTTCAGGGGCCTGCTCTCCTCCCTCCTTGGACTGGGTCCCCAGCTCACCCTCCACTCCCGGAATCCCCCTGTGGCCTTGGTGCCCCCACCAGTAGAGCCCCCAAGGCAGCTCTGCCCGCTCCTTCCCTCCACAGCCCACAGCCCCTTTCCTGCGTCTCCCCAACATCCTCTCCCCAACCCCCGGACTGCCTGCCGAGCTGGCCTTGGAGCCCCGCCTCCGCGGGTCCCTGCTCGGTGGCTCGGGATGGGCTCCCTGGCTGCGCAGACTCCTATCCACGGTTAGGCCCATGGGGGCAGGGACCCCGGAGTGCTGCCAGCGGCGGGGAGGGGTGACCTGCGTAGACGCGACTCCCAAAGGCCACCAGTGCCACGTGAACAAGACCCGGGGCGCGCGTGGGGCAGGAGAGCTGGGCGCTTGGCGTGAAGCCCGGGTGGGGGTCGCGAGGGGACAGCCCGGGCTGCAGGCTGGTCCCCCGTTGCAGTGAGGACAGCGGTCGGGGGCAGAGGGTCCTGGGCCTCGGGCACGGCGAAGTCGGCGCGTGCTAGGACCCCACAGACGGAGTCGCCTACGCACCGCAAACCCCGCTTCCCGGGACCCACTCTGGGAGGCCTGCGGTGCCTGGGCGTCCCGCGTGGGAGGCGTCTGTCTGCGCAGTCGCGGGCCGGGGTGCCACAGGTGCAACGCCGCCCGTGCGGCGTCCAGAGGCCGCGTGAGAGGAAGTCTGGGCCGGCTGCGGCCAGGCTGAGCCCACGCGGACCAGTTCCCCGCGGCGGGTGCGCCAGGGGCCCCCCACGCGCAGGCCCCGCCCCGCCCGATCACAAGGCCCGCCCCCAGCCCCGCCCACCCACAGGGCCCGGCCGCGTCCTGTAGCAGGCCCCGCCCCACCCACGCAAGGCCCGCCCCCTCCCCGCCCACCAGCAGCGCCCGCCCCCGCCCCGAGGCTCGCGCCTGCGCAGTGGGACGGGCGCAGTCGGAAGCCGGGCTGGGCTGCGCCGCGCGGGCGGTGAGCGGCGGCTCCGGTCCCCTCAGCGCGGACCCGAAGGAGTTCGGGCCGCTCGGGCCGGCAATGGCGGCGGCGGCCGAGCCTGGGGCCCGCGCCTGGCTGGGCGGCGGCTCCCCGCGGCCCGGCAGCCCGGCCTGCAGCCCCGTGCTGGGCGCAGGAGGCCGCGCGCGCCCGGGGCCGGGGCCGGAGCGGGCGGGCGCCAGAGCCCCGGGCCCCGCCGCCGCGCCGGGACACAGCTTCCGGAAGGTGACGCTCACCAAGCCCACCTTCTGCCACCTCTGCTCCGACTTCATCTGGGGGCTGGCCGGCTTCCTGTGCGACGGTGAGCGCCGGTGCCCCTTCCCGCGGGCACGGCCTGCGCCGGACGCACGCGCTCGCCCGGGACCCCGGCCCCGGTGCCCACCTGGCCGCCCCCTGCGCCTGCCTCGCGGGCGGGAGCCTGAGCCGAGGGGGCGCCGGCGCTTTCTGGGCGGGGGGCGGGGTCCCAGCCCTGCCCGCGGGACCTGCCTTCGTGGGGCGGCCTGGGCCTGTGCGCCGTGGGGCCCGGGTTTTGGGGGTTCCTCACCTGGGAGGTGCGGGCAGCGTCTCCATAGTGCTGCGCGGTGGCCGCGACCCAGCGCTGTGCCTTATGCAAGCGCGACCTCCCCTAGGGTCCCCACGGCCGGCTTCCTTTCCCAGCGGCTGGGGCAGCAGGTGTGGTCAGGCAGGGCTGGTCTGGGCCTCTGGCCCTGACCCTTCTCATGCTGTGGCCCGGAGCCCCAGCCTCCTGCAGAGCCAGGCCGCACCCTGCTCCACCCAGCTGCCCAGCCCTGGCTGGGGTGAGGATGGCCCTTCCCTGCCCTGGGCCCGGGCGCTTCCAGGGCTGGCTCTGTGCTTCCCCCGCGGCAAGCAGGCAGGCCTTGGGGACCACAGCCCAGCCTCTGAAGGGAGCCAAGGACAGGACTGGAGTCCTGGACGTTTGACACTTACTGTGTTCTGGCCAGGGACACCGAGGTGGGAGGGGCTAAGCAGCCTCTGCCCTGCTCAGAGATTCAGGCCTTTGCTCTGAGGATAGGGGACCACTCAGGCCAGGGGCTGCAGAGGAGACTGGGCCCTTCACACAGGGATATCGTCTGTGGTGGAAACGGCAGTTGTTCCGACCCCCAGGGCTGCACAAGGTGGCCTGGCCGGCCGGCTTCTTTCTCACATCAGAGCATGGCATTGCCATGCCTGCTGCCTGGGGACGCCAGGGGCTTCCCCCAAGGTGGGGGGTGTGCATGTGTGGCTGAGGCAGCTCCCAGCCTGAGGCCAGACTCTGGGTCCCCTCCCCTTTGGGAGGTGGCACAAGGGCCCTCCTGGGCAGCACCCGTGGAAGAGGGGCTGGCAGGGATGTGGGAAGAAGGGCGCCCTCCCCCTCCAGGAGAACCAAGCATGGGGCATGGGGTGAGCAGGCCCTGTCTCCACAACAGAGGGGACCTGGGCGCTGCCTGTCCCCCCTTCTTCTCTCGGCGGACCCCAGCTTGCTTCCAGAGCTTTTCTCCTAAGCCTCCAGGAGGAGCTTCTCTTGGTCCCATCTGGAGACTGGGGTGGCCAGGTGAGGGGTGCTGTGTGGCAGCACCAGCAAGGCCTTCTGGGAGAGCGGCCTTTCCCGGCTGGGCTGCCTGGGGCTCCATGGCACAACCTTCACCCAGGGCTGTCTTGGCAGGTGTGTCACAGGGTACCCTGCCCATTCCCAGCCCCCAGCAGCCTTTGCCCCAGCCCAGGGCTCCTGCCTTCCCTCCTGACCCGGCCCCACCCTCCTGCCTCTCTCACTGCTGGGGTGTGGTGCTTGCCGCTCTTATGCCCTCCTGAGCATCCTGCTGGCTGAGGTGCTCCCTGGGCCCTGTGCAGACAGCCAGAGCTCCTTGGGAGCCTTGGGGCTGCCCACTCCCCAGCGGCTCCTGCCTTTCCAGAGCCCTCAGCTGCCCCAGGTGGCTCCAGGTCTGAGGCATGATGACAGCACACAACAGGGACAGTTAGGGGGAGTGAGGGACAGGTGTACCTGGCAGAGCTGATCTGCAGAAGCCGGAGCAGCCCCTGCCGCTTGGTGAGCCCCAAGCCGCCCCTTGAGAGGCCCAACTGCAGAGGCAGGAGGCGTGCTGGGCCTGCCAGAGGGGCAGGGGCTGCTGTCTGGACGACAGGATGCTCACTGTCCTCCAGGATGGTCCAGGGCACCCAGGTGCCTACTCTGGGCTGCAGGCTTTCCCCAGTGAGGGGTGAACTCGAGGACCACAGGGCCCCTGGTGCTGCATGGTGGGGATGGCGGGAGTTGCCCTGGGGCCTCTGACTTCCTGGGTGGGACAGCATTGGGTGGGACGGGCCTGCTCATGCAGCTCTCATTCCCACAGTCTGCAATTTCATGTCCCACGAGAAGTGCCTGAAGCACGTGAGGACCCCATGCACGAGTGTGGCGCCCAGCCTGGTCCGGGTGAGTGTGGGGTTGGGTGTTGCTGTTGCAAGAGGCTGGGGAGTGTGTCAGCTGTTGGGTCGAGCACTGAGACCCTCTGCGTCAGACGTTACTGATACCTGCGGTTGAAAGGCAAAGGTCAGATACCGCTCGGGATTAAAAGCCTTAGCACCCACCCTGCATGGACCTGCAGGGAACAATGCTGAGAAAAGCCCGTCCCAAAGGTCGCAAATAGCAAGATCCTGTCCACAGAACGTGCTCAAAATGACAAAACTAAAGGGAGCAAAGATGAGAGGTTTCCACAGGTGGAGGAAGTAGGCGTGGCTGTGACATACAGCGTGAGGGCTCCTGGGAGGATGGAGATTTCGGCTTCTGGGGCTGTCAGCATCGCCACTGTGACTTGACTGAAGTTTGCAAGATAGCTCACTTGGGGGAGCTGACAGAGGCTTCAAGGGGTCCTCACAGCTGTGTGTGAACTCACAAGCATGCAAAGACAGAAAGCCTGGAGCCCGAGGACATCTTGGCCACCAGCCTCCCTCTGAGGGCTCTGGGTGGGGAGGGAGGTGACTGGCCCAGGGGACTTCTCTGACAGTGGTGACAGCAGGGACAGGTAGGAAGGGCCGGACTTATTCCTCCTTCAGCTGTCAGTCTCGCCCTCTGCAGACTAGGCTCCCATGTCCACATTCCCTGCCGAGCTCAGGCTGCAGGGTGGGTGCAGGCCTCGAGATGGGCGCGGGTGTGTGGCAGGAAGGGAGGCTAGGCCGGCAGGTGCACTCCTGCCGCTGGTGGGCATCTGGCTGCGCCGTCCTCTCTAATGTTGACGCCCTATTCCTAATGATGCCGCTCCTGAGCTGTGAGTAGGAGGCCTGAGGACACTGGCTCTGGTGGTGGCCGGCACCCCGGGGACACCACATTGGCTTGGGCAGCACCCCATGTGGACAGCCTGAGGCTGCAGCTTTTAAAAGTTGATTTTAATGTCTTCTTTTATACTTTGCTAAATTAGGAAAATACAAATGTGTTTCAGCTATATGCACGACAGGAAATTTAGAAGACATATTTAACAAAGTAAAAGTCACCCACCACTCTGGCATGCTCACAGCTGCTATTGTGGAACATGGTCTTTTCGTGTATGCTTTTATTGGGTGTGGTTTAAGTTTGAGGATAAGGACAAGAGTCGGGAGTGAAGACCTGGCCTTTCTCCTTCCCTTCTTGTGGAAAAGCAGCAGCCTGGCCCTCCCCAGCATAGCAGTGTTGACGCACACTCGCTATGGCCCCATTGTCTCCCAGAGGGCAGTCCCTGTGTGCTTGGATCTCCCTGGCTCTGAGGAGATAGATGCCAGGCGGCTGACAACCTCGCCTGTCCCAAGGAGGGAAGGGGTGGCAGGTGGGTCTGGCTTCCTGGTGCTAGGCAGGGTTGCTGGGGGAGGCCACAGCCTGCTCCCTGCTTTTGACCAGCCAGGCTGCCCCCAGGACTGGGAGTGTGGTTGCTCCTGGGGCCTCCAGATGGCACAGCTGGCTCCGGCTGGGCAGTTCCCAGCAGGAGTTCTGCAGGTGAAGAGGGAGGAGGGGTGGGTGTTGGGCGGCCCGTGGCCCATACCGAGAGCATGGAGTTGAGGCTGTGTCTGCCCTGGCCAGGTGGCTGTGGCCCATTGCTTTGGCCCCCGCGGACTCTACAAGCGGAAGTTCTGTGGTGTCTGCCGCAAGGTCTTGGAGGCGCCCGCGCTCCGCTGCGAAGGTACAGGGAGCCCGCCTGGCTCCCCTCACCCCTCCCAGCATCCTGGTCTCTGTCGCCCAGGGTGGCCCAGCCCACCCCCTGCCGTGCAGCTTGTCAGGTGATGGGGGGTGCCGAGGGCTGGCTGCCCGGCAGCCACAGGACAGTTAAAGGATTCGGGGTGCTAGGTGGTGGAGACAGGGCCAGACCCAAGTGCCAGCGGAGGCAGGGGTCCTCCAGGGTGGGGCTGAGGCCTCTAACCCTGCCTGCCCCCCAGTGTGTGAGCTGCACCTCCACCCAGACTGTGTGCCCTTCGCCTGCAGTGACTGCCGCCAGTGCCACCAGGATGGGCACCAGGACCACGTGAGTGCGCTGGTCCCAGGGAGGCCTGGGGGGTGGGGTGGGCCCAGCTGCTGACTGTCCCCCACTCCCCAGGACACCCACCACCACCACTGGCGGGAGGGGAACCTACCCTCAGGAGCACGCTGTGAGGTCTGCAGGAAGACGTGCGGCTCCTCTGACGTGCTGGCCGGCGTGCGCTGCGAGTGGTGTGGAGTCCAGGTGGGCACCGGGAGGTGGAGGTGGAGGGTAGCGTGGGGTCCAGGTGGGCACCGGGAGGTGGAGGTGGAGGGTAGCGTGGGGTCCAGGTGGGCACCGGGAGGTGGAGGTGGAGGGTAGGAGGGGCATGGCACGGGGTCCAGGCTGGGTCTGCAGTATGTGCGGTCTTTCCCTGGACCTAGCACACCTGGTGCCCCCAGCTCCGGCTTAGGCCCTTGCACCCCCAGGCACACTCTGTCTGCTCTGCGGCCCTGGCCCCCGAGTGCGGCTTCGGACGCCTCCGCCCCCTGGTCCTGCCCCCTGCGTGCGTGCGCCTGCTGCCTGGCGGCTTCAGTAAGACTCAGAGCTTCCGCATCGCCGAGGCCGTGGAGCCAGGTGAGGCGTGGGCCAGCCGGGGCGCCCTGGGCTGGGGGCTGCACACTGAGTGAGGGGTCCGTGTGCCCATCCCGCAGGTGACGGGGGAGACGGTGCGGATGGGAGTGCTGCTGCGGGGCCAGGCAGAGAGACGCCGGTGCCTCCAGAGTCCGGTAAGTGTCCGCCTCATGCCCCCCATGCCCCACCATCTCCTGGGCGCCTGGGACCCATGGAGCTTCCCCGGCCTAGGGAAGAAAACACTGAAGATCTTCGATGGCGATGAAGCGGTGAGGAGAAGCCAGTTCCGCCTCATCACGGTGCCCCGCCTAGCCAGCGCGGAGGAGGTGTTGGTAAGGGGGAGCCTGGGGCAGGTGTCTGAGCCCCCACCTCCACTGCGTGTCCCACACCTGGCACCCCTGACCTGTCTTTCCCAACATGGCACCCCTCACCCACCTACCCCCACCTCCCCAACATCACCCTCCCAACAACTTGGCTCCCCCAACCTGACGTCCTGCAGGAGGCCGCGCTCCGGGCCCACCACATCCCCGAGGACCCTGGCTACCTGGAGCTGTGCCCGCTGCCCCCTTCCTCACAGGCCTGTGACGCCTGGGCTGGGGGCAAGGCCGGGAGTGCTGTGATCTCAGAGGAGGGCAGAAGCCCAGGGTCTGGGGAGGCCACGCCGGAGGCCTGGGTCATCCGGGCTCTGCCTCGGGCCCAGGAGGTCCTGAAGATCTACCCTGGCTGGCTCAAGTGAGACTGGGCCTGAGGCTCAGGGTCTGCTGGGTGGGGTGGGGGGAGCTCCAGCTCAGGCTGCGTCCCCACAGGGTGGGCGTGGCCTACGTGTCCGTGCGAGTGACCCCGCAGAGCACCGCCCGGTCCGTGGTGCTGGAGGTCCTGCCGCTACTCGGCCGCCAGGTGTGTACCCTGGGCCTGCTTCCCATCGTGGCCAGACTTGGGGGGGGGGTCACTGTCCCCAGGATGCCAGGCCACCATCACAGCCCAGGCGTGGCTGTCCCCATGGGTGTCCTGAGGTGTTGGGACCTGCCCAGACCTGATGCCGGCCTCTGCTTCAACAGGCCGAGGGTCCTGAGAGCTTCCAGCTGGTAGAGGTGGCAATGGGCTGCAGGCACGGTGAGTAGGTGGCCGGTGGTGGGCTGGCGGTCTCCGCACCTTCCCGGCGTGGGCCGCTCCCAGCCTCTCCCTTAGGGTGGTGCTGGACATCAAGGCCGGGCCCTGTCCTCCTGACCAGCTCTACCCTGCATCCCCACGGGCCCCGGGGGCTCAGGGCAGCTGTTTCCAAGGTGGGCGAGGAGCCTGGTGCTGACGGGCTGTGCCCCTCACCTCTGCAGTCCAGCGGACCGTGCTGGCGGATGAACAGTCCCTGCTGGCCCGGCTACAGGATATCCGGCAGGTCAGTGAATGTGGACGCCGGCCCCCAGGAAACCAGCAGCCCTCAGCCACAGCCTCTGCCCTGCAGGGTGCATGTGCCCCAGACGCCAAGTCCTCAGCTAGGCAGCGGCTGTTCCAGCTGGCAGGGCAGTGCCCTGTCATAAGTTACTTGGTTCCTGCAAGGAGGCCTTGAGCCACAGACCTCCCTGAGGTCCTCGAGGGAAATGGACAGGGTTGTCCACAGCAAGGGAACCTCTGTGGTCTCTCTCCTCATTTTCATGTTGACTTAATTCTGGGACTCTTCCCAACCCCCGGTTTTGCGGATGAGGAGGCAGAGGGTCTGGTGCCGGCGGTCTGTTCTCCCCGGCCCAGCGTCCTCGCCCCCTCCCTGCAGGTGTCCGTGCGGCAGCTGAGCCAGACGCGGTTCTACGTGGCGGAGAGCAGGAATGTGGCCCCGCACATCTCCCTGTTCGTTGGCGGCCTGCCTCCCGGCCTGGCCCCCGAGGAGTACAGCAGCCTGTTGCTTGAGGCTGTGGCTGTCGAAGGTGTGAGCTGCATGGCTGGCCGTGGGCTGCTGGCTGGGGATGGGGTCTGGCAGCTGTGGGGCTGCAGTGCTGAAGCCGGCTCCTGCCTCTCCTTGAACCACTGAGGCCTGAGTGCCAGGGCCAGTCCATGTCACTTCCTGCAAGGTGCTTTGGAGCTTCCCGCCCTCTGTGGCCCTTCCCTGTGGTACTGGGCCTCCACCTCTTCCTCTCCCTCTGGGGGGCCCTGTGCCTCTGGGGAGCTGGGAGCCCTGCTCCTGAAGTGGGGAGTTGGCCCTTGGGGTGTGATGTCACCCTGAACAGGACGGGGGGCTGGCCCTGGCCACCAGCGCTCCGCGTCCTTCACTTCCCACCACCCTGATCACAGCCTGCCTTTGCAGCCACCATGGTGTCTGTGAGTCACGTCTACTCCTCCCAAGGTGAGCTGCCCTGATAGACGTGGTCACATGGGGCCCAGGGGTGTTCCTGGAGTGGGGCGGGACAGCCCTGATGTCACGTGGCACCTGATCTTTCCCTCGGTCAGCCCTGGGCTGGGGAAATGTCTTGGTTCTGTTCCTGCCCGGGCACCGTGGGGGCCGTGGGACAGGCTCCCCCTGAGTCCTGGGCTGCTGCCACAGGTGCGGTAGTGCTGGACGTCGCCTGCTGTGCAGAGGCCGAGCGGCTGTACGCGATGCTCAAGGACACGGCTGTGCAGGGTCGCCTGCTCACTGCCCTGGTGCTCCCCGACCTGCTGGTGAGTGAGTGGCCGAGCCGGCTCTTCACACACCCCAGGGGTGGCCAGAGGGAGTCTGGGTCTGCAGGTGCACGGTCCCCACAGCCAGACCCACTCTTTTCGTCGGGCGTCTCTTCCTCAAGTTTGCTGGGGGCTTGTAGGTGCCACCCATTTGTGCCTCACAACAGCAGGAAGGACACTGTTGCTGGTTTTACACCCTTGACCAACGGGCCTGAGGTCAGAGGGTCAGTGCTCATCTGAGGCTGCCCGTGGGTGATACCAGTTCCCTAGGGCCTTGTGGGGCCAGGCCCAGGTTCCGCACCACACCAAGGCCTCCACCCAGTAGGGAGGCCCACAGGACGTGGCTCCTGGATGTGCTGGGTCCCGCTGCGGCTGCCTCGCCACGGGCCAGAGCATGTCTGTGACCAGCTGTCAGCATCCCAGGCACAGCGCTCTCGGTACAGCCCAGCCCATCCCCCGCCCGGGAGGCCTCAGGACCTCTGCTGTCAGCCTGGAGCTCCCAGGGGAGTCGGTGCAGCTCCCAAACTTTGGATGCTACCCTTAAGATCTGCAGTGCCCAGAATAGGGGGCACCTGGCAATGGGGCAGGGCTGGGGGGAGGGGGCACGGCCCACAGAGGAGCAGGAGGCTGGGACTTCACACTGCACGCCGTGCCTTCATAGCAGGCTCTCGGCCTCAGCCCATCCAGCCCCAAAACGGTCCTGTGAGGACCCCGAGGTGTCCATGCTGCTCTGCCCTGAACCCTGACCCTTGACCCTGACCCCAGTTCAGGTGAAGCAGAGCTAAAGCAGAATGAGTTGTCTGTGGCTGGGACAGGTGCTGCCTGTGGGTCCTTCCTATGCCTTCCCTACCTGGCCTTGCCTGGCTCAGGACAGGGTGGCCATCCCTGCTGTCCCGAGGACGCAGCCCCTGCCCCAGCCCACTCGCTCTGTGGGTGGAGCCAGGTGTGGGCCGACACCCCT